ATTTTTACTCACTTTTCTTATATTTAAAAACAACTTTTAAATTTTTTCTCCAATAAAAATTTAAATTTATCACTTCTTTTCGAGTCCTCTCCGTTTATAAGTTAAAATTTTTTTAAAAAAAAACTTATATTTTTATTTTTTTTTTAATTTTAAAAAAATCTTAAACAGTAAAAATTAAAAATTTCAAATTCAAATTTCTCATAAATTTTTTTACTCATTTTTACTCACTTTTCTTATATTTAAAAACAACTTTTAAATTTTTTCTCCAATAAAAATTTAAATTTATCACTTCTTTTCGAGTCCTCTCCGTTCCCTTTCCACCAAAAATCCCCAACATATTATCCTGTTCAAAAATAAATAAAAAAATAATAAATTGAACAAAATCAGTTTCATGAGGTTTAGTTCCTGCCATCTTTATTTCTTTAAAATACCAATAAAGTTTGTGCAAACTTTGATGTCAAAGCTTCAACACCAAAATCAAAGAATTCCCATCAATTCATAAAAGCCCTAAACATCTTCAATACTTCTACATTTACCGTACATATTCAACAAAAAGTTCACCAGCGCAATTTGAGACTCAAAACCATTAAAAAAACTTGACAACAATGCAAACCCTTGGCATAGACGGGCTCCAAGACTCTACATGGCAAATATAATGGTTATAGAGTTATAGGGCTACGTTGAATACCTCGGTACTGTGACCAAATTTTGCAAGTACCACGTCATGTGTTGAGTGGAAGAATCTTATATTAAGGGTAAAATAAAGAAATTTATGAATTAAATACAAAGATTACTTCACTTATTATTATTTGATTTTAAGTTAAACGTAAATTTTGCATTGAAGGTCACATGCACAATTTTCACACCACGTGACCCTAAAATAGAGATGGATGATGGAGTGAAAAAATTTGGTTGTCTGGTTGATTGCATTCATCATTCATGCCCTCCGTAGGGTTGCAACACCAGAAATTGATTGTATTTTTAAGCCAAGTATGAAGTATAAAAAATATATATATGAAGAATCCAAAAACAAACAGGAAGCAATTCAAGTTCTGTTGAGAAGAACTACATCTGACAAATGCAAATACAACTAAACATAATCTAATGAAGCATTTCAAAATGAACATAAGATGACCGCTTAAAGAAAGACAACAGAAAAAAGACATACAGAAAGCAAACACGAATGCCTTATTTTCATTTTTCATTTGTAAATGTACAACTTCAATGCTGAATGTCTTGCGGCTCCATGTAACGTCTTTGGAAAAGTGAGTTCAGAGGCCCAGATGATTCATTGCCAACCAAACAAGAGTGAGGAGTTCCTCTCCTTGACTTGGTTGCTTTGCATGCACATCTGCCCTGCAATCAATAGCTGCATAGCATGCTAATTCTACCCAAACTTGGCTCATTAACTCCCATGGATAACTGTTTGACTACTTCAGCTGGCAGGCAAGCAGACATGCCGCAGCAAACACTGATGTCCTTTTATCCCTTCTCTCACTCACATCTTTGTCCATTCCAAATAGATTTGATGAAGAAGTTTTAAAAAATAAAAGTAAATACTACTGTTTACTGTTTTAAATGATAAAACATTTCTTTGACGATGACTTTTCATGCTCATTCATAATTGACAGAGGCATTTCTTTTCGATTTCACAAGGACGTATTTCACATGGAGCTGAGCCGTAGATCCTCACTCCCATCCGCTACAGTATCTGATGTTAGTAATAATTGTACATTTCCATCTCCCCAAACATTTTATATTGCAAAAGAAAAAAAAAAATACCTTTTATCTCTGATCAAAATGATCTCTCCACCACAGGGTCACATGCTGGCATTTTCTGTTTTCTATGGGTCAATAATTGCTTTTCTGAATCGTTTTTCCTGCTTTTGCCGAAAAGTTGTTTCCTGTTTACTGTACTGGACAAATGTAGTTAACTAAATGGATGGTTAAAAATAATTAATTAATTAATTAAATGTAAATGGTTATTAATTTTTTTAATTTCAGTTAAATAACAAAAAATTCGATAAATTAATGATTAGAAAAAAAAACTAAAAATTGAATATATGACCGAAAATAAAATTTTATATGAATAAT